TTTAACTTTAAAGGTCACCTATCATGCTATTTTTAGGCAATAGCAAAGGTCTCAGATATATACAAATATATAAAAAACATGTCTATGAAGTGTTTTGCTCAAAATACCAAACAGATCACCCATTCTAGCCATGCCTCATATCCCTCTATTTCACTTCCTGTTTCAAAAGTGCTGATTTGGGTATAAAGCTTTAAAAAAAAAAGAGGAGGGGTCTGAGCTCATGCGGGACCCGGCAGCTACTGTCTAAACTAAATACTGCCGTGATGAAACGCCATATCATGGATTATCAAGGATTATCTCTGAAACAGTATGGAGCTCAAAGGCTTTCTCTCTTGCCGGTTATACCACAAGGTGAGTTCCTTTTTATTTCCTGCTTCTTCACACACATGCTCTCCAGTACAGGTTAGCTCTGAGTGTTAGCGATGCTAATGTAAACACCGACCATATTACGTCCAAAACAGTCGGGCATTGTTTCTGATAGCAACGTTTCTGATAGGGCCGTGGGTCCACATTTCAGATATTACGTCATATCGGACGCAAATCTGGATCAGCTCCGTTGTTCCCCCGTTTTTAGAGATTTGGGTACGGAGGAAAAGAGAGAGGGTTTTATTTCCTGACGCTGCGTGAGTTCCCCGACACACCGGGGACACATAGTGATGTATAAAAGACATCAAAAAGTGCAATTTGCATGATAGGTCCCCTTTAAAACAATATTGTTGCAGTTGCTAAAGGTGCTCATTTGAATTACCTACACATCTGTGATTCAGCTCATGCATTTCCGCCCTGGAGATAAAATATACTTTGTTAATTTCCACTTCTGCCATTTTATATAAGTTGTATTTGCAAATGACTTTAATCGCCAACAGTTAAGTGTATTCTGCAGAACTTCGAGCCTCCTCAATACCCTGTTTGCCAGTTTTAGTGTTACATTTTGGATGCATTGTGATTTAATTTCTTATTTTCACTTTCTAGGCGCCAGATGGAGGGCCCCAACCTGCAGCATCGAGCTCTGTTGGACACCTTGGTGCTGACGGAGAGGGGGGCTCGCTTCGAACTGTTGGAACCGGACACACAGGTCTGAACACAACCATGATGATACATCTCTTTATTTATCTTTGATACTATTTGAAAATTCTCATATTAGAAAAATAAATAATGAGTAACAGGTCTTTTTATGCTGTGTTAGTGCACATCAGAGGTTCTAAATGTGATGCTAATTGTAGCTTGTTATAACAACTAAACTGCCCTTTTAAATTCTGAATAAAATACTTTCTTTGTCCTTTTCACAGACCAAACTGCTTCTTTCTGTGTCACCGTGCAAAAATGACACTGTGAGGATACTAATCGATGAGATGGAGCCCATTAAAGCTCGCTACAGAGTTCCAGATGTGATTACAGGGGAGCTGCAGTGTGAACAGTAAGATCTGAGTCACGCCTCCATCATCATATCCAGCTACAAATGCAATATTATCAAAAAGTCCTCTCCACTTCTTCTTTGCCATTAAAGGGGCCCTATTACGTTTTTGGGGTTTGCTATTGGAATCCTTTGTTCTTTAAAGTAGAGACACTACATACTGATATACACCTGAACATCAGCAGGAGAGGACTCTTTAAAGTAGAGACACTACATACTGATATACACCTGAACATCAGCAGGAGAGGACTCTTTAAAGTAGAGACACTACATACTGATATACACCTGAACATCAGCAGGAGAGGACTCTTTAAAGTAGAGACACTACATACTGATATACACCTGAACATCAGCAGGAGAGGACTCTTTAAAGTAGAGACACTACATACTGATATACACCTGAACATCAGCAGGAGAGGACTCTTTAAAGTAGA